GCTTTAAGCGGAGATCTCTTTGCAGCTATTATGAAGAGAAGAAAGTATTAAAATATAACAATATGCTTTCAATGTGCATATGGGCATGAGAGTATGTTTAGACAGACATGAAAGAGTTGGAACTTATCTATTAAAAAGAGATGGTAAGATGTTTCTTGTAGCCAACTGCAGTCAAGCTGAATGTAGGTAACGATACATTTTAGGAAGGAGGAGATTATTTGTTTGCTTGTCTGATTATACTGTCTTGTTACATTTCTATTTCTGTGAGATGGTTATCTGAACCTGACACTCCATAGATACTATAGGTCTTTTTCAAAGCAGACAGTTGTAAATGTCACAGCAGGAAAATAATCTGTGTTACTAACAACAATAACAATGGCTCTGTTCTGTTAAGGTGTAATTAGATTTGTGACAGTGCACCAACACACTCAGTTCCAGGATCCTGAAACTGAAGCAGCTCAGTGGAATTCAGCCATTATTGATATCATTATTTTCACCAGTGCTTCTCCTACTGAGACAAAGGAAAAAAGGTCTATGATGACGCTAGTTTGTCTGTCTGGAAGCCTTAGCAGCAGGCACCTGGTTCCGAGGGGCACTGCTCTGCTTCTTTTGAAACAAAATCCTGACGTCTAAAAAGCAGAATTTTCAACTGACCTGTTTACAGAGAAACTGAAGATGTGGAAATCGCCTGATAGTTTAACCTTTCCAGTTGCATTCACATGCCCTGTTTGTTCTCTGCCTACTTTTAATCTGACATGCTGCCATGGAGGTGGCTGATACACACAGATGCCCAGTCAGAGATGGATCCTACTGTTTCAGCTGAGTGGCTGCAGTTTGAACCATTGACGAGCCAAGGCATGGGCTGAACAAAGACTTTTTAGATGGCCAAAGAATGCATGTACACGTACAGTGCCACTGAAAACAAATACAGCATGATTAACTTCGAACAAGGTCAAGTTACAAAAATTGCACCCTGGTATGTGAACATCATACCAGCCTATCAGACAGGCTTCAAGATTAGGCCATTTGGATTCCATTCATCTATTCCCCCCTTTATTATGACTCAGCCAAAGGAGCCAACAGCAATCCTATTATTATAGTATCAACATTTCTGATATCTTAACAGATAACAGCGAGAATTCAGTACTGGTCAGCTCCAGTCCAACTCCAATTTAACTCAAAGTAGACAGTAGTCTACCACTTGTGAAATGTTACCCAATCATAACAGACTACTCTGGGGTAACTGCACTTTGAGTAACTCAGTAGTAAGAATAAATAAATCATTGAATATATAAATTGGTTATTAAAAAATACCTTATTCTGAATGGTATCAGTCCAGAAAATCTTTTGCAGACTGTAGTGGAAGTCCACTCCCATTGCAACCCCTCTGTTCTGTGAATGAACCAAAGTGCGCAGATTGTTGCCATGGATGTCACCTATTAACAGGTCTCTGCCATCCGAAAATATCAAAGAAGGGACTCCAGCTGCAGAAGAAAAAACATACAACAAGTTACAAAACACAGCAAGATGGAATCTTTATCTTTACAATGTTTTGATTAACTACCTCTGGTTTGTATTAAAACTAAAGTAGCAAGCACCTACAACTGGATTGTTGGGATTTTTACAGAACATAGCACATTATTTCAGATCCATGACTCAGACTAATGAAGGTAGAGGATTAATGAAGGTAGAGGACTTTCTATCCGTTGTCATTTCACACTCTTTTTTTATTCATACTCATCAAAGGCAAATAGGTCAACACTCTGTCTATGTTCAACAGAGGATAGAGACTAGCTAAAACAACATTCGGTACGCAACGATGCACCACAATGCAGCACAAACTCTCAGCAGAGCAGCCACAGAGGTCTGCAAGAAGGAAAAGGGGTCGTTCATATGTTCAGAATTTGATCACACTGCATGTAAAACCAATCAGAGAGGGTACAACACTCACTTGAGATGTCAGCCCTGCAATGTCTGTGCTGCTCCAGGGTGTAGCCCTCACGACAGCTGCAACGATAGGAGCCAACACGGTCCTCACACAGCTGGTCACACACACCCCACATCGAACAGTCGTCAAAGTCTTCGGCATGAAATCAGAGCAGATGAAGATTAAATACCAATTTTGTTTTGTTTGAGTCACACTGCACATTCAATAAGTGTTTTTGCAATGTACATATGACTCCAAACATATGGTATCCTGTGATTGAGGATCTCTATTGTTCAGATGTTTTGATCTTTCTGCATAAATCCCCATATAAAAGGTATGAAAAGAATGTGGAGTATGGGTAGATATACCTATACATGAGCGACTATTGTTGCTGTTGACAATGTAGCTAGAAGGACATGAACAGGTTCCTCCTTCAGGAGAAGCATGACAACGATACTCGCAGCTTAGAGTGGCACATCTCCAGATACCTGACCAACACAGAGACCAGAATAGTAAGGAACATAATTCAGTGATATCAGATGGTTTACACTAGTTGTGTTGGTACTAACTGCAGTTGCGGCCAGCAGTGCTGTTTGTCTCATCCTCTCCATCGGGACACTGAGGTGTCCCATCACACAGCTGATCCATGGGTATACACAGGCCAGAGGATGGACAGGGCCATTCTTCTGGGTAACACTCTCTCGACACATTATCTGTAGACAAATCAAATTCATCATCATTAAAGGCTTACACATGGAAAGTAATAGGAAAGCAGTAGGCTTTAAATGTGTTGGGATTTTATACTGGGTCCACAGGAATGCGGCACTGATCTTAAGAAATTTGTGACTAGGACCTAATCGTCAGGGAATTTACTGTCACTTTAAATCGATGCAGGGGAGTGGAGCTTTGAGGGGGTCACATGGGGGCTCAGAGGGCTTCTGCAGCCCATCCTCTAAAAACACACACTCTTCACAGCCGTGTGAAGGAATTCTAAAGCCCTTTGGGGGGCTGCGCAATCTTGTGCCACAAAGAGACATTTGAATAGCACACTTAAAGGAGCACAGGCATAGTGTCTTGCTCGCCCAAATCAACCGTGGTGACTGGAGATGCATCTGGTTTCACACAGAGAGTTCCAGTTGTAACCCAGTAAACCCACTCAGTTTTCCTTCAACAGCCATTAATGGGTCTAACAATAAAAATGAACAAAATTTATGACAACTGGTTTCCAACTACATCCATACCGCAGCCTTTTTCATCAGCATTGTCTTCACAATCATCCTCTCCATCACAAAGCCAGACTTGATGGATACAGCGGCCACTTGGGCAGGTGAAGTAGTTGCCCTTACAGGTAGGATATGCTGTAGGTAAAATAAAGATTCATTAGACTGACAATGCGGTTAGATTAAGAGAGAAAGAGGATATAGAGACAGAGGCTACGTACTGCAATTTTGCTCATCACTTCTGTCTCCACAATCGTCATCGTGGTCACATACGTAACGTTGAGGAACACACTCTCCGTTATGACACGGAAACCGGCCCGTGTTGCATTGCTGTGCTAAAAAGCAGATACAGGCAAAAATAACCATTTAGTTACTGCTCAGCACAAGTGACAGTTGTTTGGAAATGCTTCTAAAATTGACTGGTTTCTTACTGCAGTTTGCCTCATCAGAACCATCACGGCAGTCAAGTGTCTGGTCACATCGCTGAGTCCGGTTGTAGCAGGCCCCATTAGCACATCTCAATTGTGTACACTCGGGGTAATCTGAAAGATTAAATCATCATCAGGGGGGTGCCATGCATTCAAATCCGTCTGACAACTGTGTGCATTTAAGTTTTTAACTGTGAAAATTCTGGGAATGGGAAGGATAAAGGACTCAAATTTAACACCACCACCATAACGGCAGTCGCCACAGCATTCTTTATGCAATTGTGAGATTACCACAGTGTGTAGTGCTGTGGGTCTACCATGTCGGGACAATAATGGCATAGCAGCTGAACTTCAGCTTGACTAATCCACCAAGGAATCTGCAATCAACCTTTGACAACAAGAAGCATATTGTGGCCCATTCTGTCAGTCAGCGAGCCTCTTAATCTTAACAAATTGATTAAAATGCCTCAGGAGCCTGAGATAAAAAAAGGAAACCACCCTGGAGAAAACTTACGGCAGTTTCTCTCATCAGAGCCATCTGAGCAGTCCGCCAGTCTGTCACATCGGTATTCTCCTGGGATGCATGCCCCGTTACTGCAGTTGAACTGGCCACTGATACATGTCGTTACAGCTGGGGATTAAGCAACACATAGAGAAGTGAGCCAGATAGATAAAGTTTGATCTGCTTGGAAATATATATGAAGTACAACACAGTAATTAAAATACTTAACCTCCTCAGCCCACAGAACCTTTACCATTTCTTTTTTTTCCAAAACACAGACTTTAATTCAAAAAATTTATTGTATAGAAAACAACATCAACTACAATACAAACAATACTGATGTAATGTTATGGTGCAACAAAAAAAGGCACTTGACTACTTCAGTTAAAAGTGTGATATTATATGTTGTATATTAAATTTATTAGGTGTGTGTGTGAGTCAGTGACAGCGTGTGTGTGTCAATGTTTGTCTGCACGTGTGTGTGTGTGTGTGTGTAAAGGTTTCAGGTGATTAAGAATTGCTGATATGGCAAGATGGACTCACGACAGTTATGCCTCTCATCGGAACCATCCTCACAGTCTTCCTCATCATCACACACCCACTGATCAGGGATACAATCACCATCACTCAAGCACTGGAAGTGAATGTCAGCACATGTTACCTGAGCTGTGGGAACATGGGAACACACACAGAGAATTTGATTATTTATAACAGTTGACGGAAATGGTAGAAATATAATTTATTTTACTTGACACTACTTTAGTGTGCTTTTCGGTTACTTGTACTTTACTTGTGCTACACATTTTCTGAGGAAAATATTGTTATTTACACTTAACAACTACATTTGGCAGCACTATAGTTTACTTTCAGATTAGGAATTTAAAACAAGTAAAAATATGATGGGTGTACTAAAGAGGAGTATTTTTTTTATATCAACATTACTTCTCTTCTTTTACTGAAAAGAGGAATTTATGTAATTCTGAGCATTTCTCTCACCACTGTTGTAATAAGAGGGATCAGGTTAGAATGTAACATCCAACTAGTATCATGAAGATCCCAACCCTCTCAGGGAATATATTGGCATATAATATACATGATATAATTAGTAATGAGTAACTCACGACAGTCTCGTTCATCAGAGTCGTCCACACAGTCTGATGTCCCATCACAGTGCCAATCACCTGGGATACATCGGCCTGTCCCACAGCGGAACTGCCCCAGTTCACATCCTATGAACAATTATATTTTGCCATAATTCAGTACTTTTTAAAAGCATTTTCTTACATGCTAATGTGACTATTATCCCCTAATATTATTCAGTTTCTTACTTTTTGCATTTAAATATTGATTTCATTATTTATCGTATCATTATTCAAATATATCCCAAACTTTAGTTATTCTATTCATCCTTTCATAAAAAAGAAATCAGATATAACCATACTGTATATTTAATGAAAACGTGGCATGAGGGGGCAGAGACGCCTTCCCCTGATGAAGCATGCTGTTAAGAGCATTGACAAGCCCTGGAGACAAGCGTGCCAGCCGTCCTCCCGACAGTTACACAACCTTCACTGCACTCATCCCAAGCCTCCTTTTGATGTTCTCACTGAGTGGCATCTGTAGAGATAAGGTGCTACCACTTTACCTTCCCTGACATTTTCCAGGGGAGATTGATTCAGGCAGCATAGTTCAGTGGCAGAGCACTCCATCAGACCCGTCCAAATAGGAATGTGCAGTTCTGATTGTCTCTCCGACAGCCTGATTTATGGTGCAAGCTGCTCCTGTCCGGTCTGAGATGTAATTGGAATAAATAGTGGTACTGGGTGGTACCACAACCATTTCAACCCAAATTCTTCATGAGACGAGCTGTGAGGTGGTGATTGGTGGTGCATGCTTGGGGTTGGTGGTCTATGTCTGTCCTGCTGTATCTTGCATTTTGAAACACTCTTCCTTTTTAATCAATAGACTATTAGCAAAATTAAAAACACATTAAATACTTGAATAATGAAAATCAAATGCTGCAGTACTCATTTATATCGCTTTAAAGTTCCTCTGTAATGCCTTAAAGCTACATAGAAATGAAAGTCAAAAGTCTATTTAAGTTTAAATCAGGGGGGTTATCACCTCTCTAAAAGATGGATGACTCCCACAGCAGTTGTGGGGGTCACTGTATGTGCTGCTGCACTAAAATCCTTAAAAACACGGATCACACTTGTCTCGGGTTAACTGAAAACCAACCAAACGTCTTTACGATCAACCCAGAAAAACCAGGCTGCATATTTAACTCCTACAGCAGCTATCTGGGAAGCAAACTGTTTGTCCTGCTCAGTTTACTAATGATAAAATTGCTCATGATCTGCTCAAAGGAAGCCTTTGTTGCAAGGCAGTGATCCCAGAGGTTTCAGCATCATCTATAGCTTGGCAGCAGGGACAAGTGTACAGTATAAGAATGGCCAAGAGATGTTCTCTGTTGAACAAAAATACAACATTTCCCCTGTAATGAAGGCTTATTTGTTCATTTTAAGTATGAAATGACATCACAGAGTTTTAAAAACAATATAAAGTTATTACATTCAAACAGCAATAATAATGCTAACTGAAAGAGAACAGTAAACATTTCCTTCACAAATGAATAAAATCTGCTTTTGAAAAGATCAAGATGTTTATAGCTGCCATACAGTCAGACCTGCAGGTTGACAACTTAAAACCATGTGTTCCCAGGAGAACCGTCGACAGGAGGCTTTCAGTATAGCCAGTACTTCCTGACAGTGTTACTTCTGGGAAAGGTGACAGATACACTGAAGCAGAACCTTTCAACACTACATTGTGTGAGGGTTCCTCTTACATTCTAACAAGAACATCACCTTTGTAAGTTCTGCTTAATCCTCAAGTTTCTATCCCTCCATTCTAACAAAGTGGCAATCTGACTGCCTCTGTAAATATTACACACAAAAAAAAGTAAAAGATGCAAATTCAATGATTAGAATGTTCTGAGTCTGTTGATCAGTGTTTTTTGATCGTGTTTTATATCTGTATTTTATTTGAGGTTTTCCTTTCTCTTCTTTCCAGCCTTGTGTTTTTCGAATTAGCAACTTAAACCCACAGCAGGAGAGCGCATCGCACCATCCATGCAGGAAGATAAGGACGCCCTACTATTGCCCAACAAAGAAGAGCAGTAGAGGAATTTTCATTAGAATGAAACCCCCCAAACGCCTTAAACCCCACTGTGAAATTACAATGGCACAAAAGAGGTGCAAGCAGGGCTGCGAACTCATAACTGGAAGTGTCTCCATAAAAATGTCACTTTGGAGATGGGCAGGAGGAGGCAGAGTACAGTAGGGCTCACTTCCTGCGATAAGATGAAACAAAAATGAAACATGAGCTCAAGGCCACCCATTAAGCAAACCTGGGCACTGCCACTGAAACTCTGAATCTCTTTCTCATCACGTGGAATGAATGAAAGATGTCGTCAAGCTTTCACCGACATCGTCTTGTTTTGGCGCAGCCTTCTTCACTCGCTGAATGTGTGTGCGTGGAGAAAAGTTGTGAAAACGGCTGCTGGCAGCATTTGACACTGGACCCGTCCATGCTGTCAGAGCGAAGTGCTGCTGCCTATTTCATATGGAAATCAATGCAGCAGAATGCAGTCGATTGCCAAACAAGTGACTTTGGCTCAAACTGAAATGCACAAAACAGTGAAAAACCGACGGGGCTTTGGCAGTGGCATGGGAGCAAAAGGAAGAAATAGATGGAGTGAGGGATAAAGCTTTAGTCTGGTTACTCCTGAGGAAAACTCAACATGAGTTTTGTGTAAAATGAATCATAGAATTAAGTTGTTATGATGCAATGACACAACCACTGGACAACTTATTTTCACTCAGTACAGTGAGTCACAGATCACCAGCTGTGAGTTGGGGGCTGCACTCCATCCTCAGTGTCTGTTACCTAGACTGAGGGAGCTGCAGAAAAAGAAAGGATTTGCTCTCTATTTGTGCCAACTGCATTCCTGTTTCTAACGCTGTGTTACTGTTGCACAAGGATTTAGAAGCCGGAAAAGGAAAGAAGCCGGCATGCATGAGCTTTAAGGTGCACATGCTGGCAAGTTTGTATGCCTTTAGAAGTTTGAACGCAAGGATTTTTTAGCAACGTCATAAGAGACTAAAACCGAAAATATGTTTGATTAAATCAAGACGGACAAGCTGCGCACATGACCCAAATCAATCAGACTGAAATAACATTAGTAAACATGTCTGTTTTCATTATACTGTTTCATAGTCCTCTCATGGAGTAACAACTTAATGTGTAACATAAATGAGGTTGTTGTTGCGAACTTAACGGGTTATGAGGATGTCAGCGGCCAATCATTAATGAAGAAAACAACTCAATTTACTGACAAAATATGTGTGGAACAGCAAAATTTGCAGAGGGTAGTTAACAAAACTACCACCGTGAAATCGCCCCAGACTGTCACATCAGCTATTAGTGCCAGTGTCAGCAATCTTCAACAGTTTCCAGGCTGAGGCCTGGATAATGTATCAGGGTGAAAGTTGTGAAGAAATTATCAAATTTAAGGATTTTGGTGGAGGATCAAGCAGTGATTAGATGAAGAACGTTGTCCCCTCAAAGTTAAACTACACAAATTTTACAGTATTCTCCCAATTTGATTTACACTTCACTGGAAACCTTCAGGGAGCACCTGATATGTATTCTACTGTGGTGTTTACTGTCCTCATTAACGTGCCATTGTTTTTATACCTTCAGATGAAAGATAAATGGGAACCTCATCACAACCCACAAGATTCCAGCCTGTATTTTTGTCTGTTAATCTCAAAAAATATGTTCTTATGAAGATACTGATAACTACTGAAGATTCTGTGGTTTTTAGTCAAGACATCATTTTGTTTGTTTCAGATGTCAACATCAAATTTCAGCTGTGAGCACTAAGACTGCTGCGACTCAAAGGAAATGCCAATAATATTTTTTCAGATGCCACAGTCTCAGGCATATTGTCTCTTTGGCATGTAGAGTTAGACTTTTTTTTCCGTTTTTCTGCTTCTGTCAGCTATTGAGGAAATAGGATGTTTCATAATAAATCAATAAGAAAGCAGTAGCTGGGGCCTTTCTCTCTCTACAGTTCTTTCTCTCAACTTTAAACTGCTCCTTAGGTAGAAATGGTTCCATTCTGCAGCACCTGCAGTGTAATTAGTTGCTTGATTCACACTAAGGAGCTTACGTACTGAGGGTTGAGCAAAAAGAAAGCAGATTACAATTTGAGAAGTAGGATCCAGCCGGGGCGACAAACACAGGAGACAAACACAAGGCTGTCATGTATAAAAGAGCAGCATCTGAGCATTTCGTTTGACCGTCTCACATTAGGACAATAAAGTTCTTCGTCCAGCCGCGATCGAGTTTGAATCTGTGTTTTTGCGGGCGTGAAAAATCTGCCCCGCTGAATGAGATTTGTACCAGTAGCCCTCAGTCCTCACAGATTGTCTGTAAGTCACATGCTCTTTTCTGTTACCTAGCAACAGTAAAGCTCAGGCAAAAGTTCCTCAAGAGAACTTCCAATCTGTCTGAGGGAAGGCTTTGTGCCTAACCTTTAAAGCAATACTATGTGGTAAAACGTTTAGCTCTACAGCCAGATTTACTTTATCTAAAGGCCACATTAACATGAGTGGAAGATATCACGTAGCTCGAGTAAAAGAGCGGCTTTCTTAATCATCAGCAGGGTTGTTTTCATGAGTTCACTTCATTTTAGCATCTGAATTCTCATCAACAATAAACTGCAATCACAGGTTGGACACCTTTGTATTCAATTCAGCCAAGAAAAAAAACTTTATCTGAGGTTAGTTTTGATTGAGCATTGAAGTGCAATTGGGGGGGGGGGGTCACTAGTAGCTCAACAACTCTGCCTTTGCCTCAGTGAATCTTTAAGGTGTCAGTGAATGAGGATGAAATAAAGAATGGGAAATAAAAGATACAAATAAATGAATCACACCACTTACCCTCAGAGTGGCACCAGAGAACACAGCACACGAAGAAGACGAGGAGGAGTTTGAGTAGCGGTGCTCTCCACATTCTGGCCGGTCCGTCCAGCTCCGCGGTGCAGATGGAGGAGCTGTGGGGGGGACTGAGCCTGGGATGCTGCTGCCTTCCTCTTGTCTGTCTCTCTCGGCCCCGCTCGTTGATTAAAAGGGGGCGTGCACAAAGGCCAGGAGAGCCGCTCCCCCAGCCCCAGCCCCGGCCCTCCGGATAAATCCCTCTGGCCCTGGAATCTGCATAACACCATGCGGGCTCGACTTGTCCCAGAGCGCCGGGGATTGTTGTTGGGCGACGTGGGCTCCGTTTGTTTGCTCCATACTTGGGACTTAAAGTTGCTGCCACTGAGGAAAACAATCGTGGGAGTATGAGATTATAAAAACCAGTAGAAATAATAGACTATGGTTTCCTGCAGGCCTGGATGTGTCACTTAATCCCTCTCTGGTTCGAGCCTGATTAGAAGTAGCCTTGTTGTTCCATATATTTATACTCACTTCACCCAAGCTGGATTTTATCTACACGCACAACACGAAAGTTTGTTTAGGAGTATTTTTACACATTAAAACGAAGCGTTGGGGTTTTAAACATCCATGTATTTACTTTAGGGATCGTGGGGACATCGTGCCCCAAACAAACATGGCAGACATTTCCGAAACGATTTAAAATCGACCAACAAAACCACAATAAAACAGCCACACGTAAACATCAAGTAACACAACATGGAGAAGGGGTTTAACACAGACTTAGAAGACTACTGGTGTTTTGACACTATGGTGCGTACCTTCACGTCAGTGAACATCGCCATCTTGCGGCCGCGCACCGCCTCTGTCGTTGCTCATCGGAGCTCTGTGACGGTTGCCATAAGCGACCGAGCAACTGAAACTTTCAGATGTTTCTTGCGTAAATTCGTAAACTTTAAAAAAAAAAGGGAGAAAACGATACGTAAAACGGACAATTGAGTCACCATGGCAATCCCACAGAGCACTACTGAAATCGTCGTGACGTCTTCTGAGGTATGTGAAGGAATCAACACTCATAAATCACTGTTTGCTAATGAGTCTGCAGAGAAACGTTACTTTACTTGACTTTTGTGTTTACATGGCTGCGTGAACCTCAGAGACTTAGTTGCTGGTCATTCACCACTGACATCCACTACATGCACACAGTCTGAATGTCTATTGTGAATATTTGTATGCATGTTTTTTTTTTACTTCATTTTAAAAACAGTGCGTGTGTTTACATGGACAACAAAACTCAAACTATTGACTATGATGTTTTACACAAGTTGCATAGAGTACTCAATGTATATTCTTGTTGTCATGTTGCAGAGCATAGTCTGATTATGAAGTCGAGCAGTTCGTAACTGCCAAACATCTCGATGTCACTAAATGTTCTGAAAACTCAAATAGGACATTACAATGCGATTAAGCTGAAGACATGTCTATAGAAAGCCATTACGGGTTGAAATATTTACATCTTAATTTTATCATTGCTTATTCTGAGTATGCCCTTATGCAGGTTAAGTTAATCATGGCAGGGTCTTACAAGTTTTATTTTTTTAAGTGTAAAAAGTTTTACTCTGTTCATATCTCATCAGGATCTGTTTTAAAAGCTCAAACACAGCATAACTTTGCTATCAAGCTGCCAAATGTGCCAGCCTATTAATATTAGCAGTGGTAATAGTAGTAGTCATATTGATAATGTCTGTCCATCCTGTTTTAACATCAGGCATTTTCCTCTCTCACCAGCATATGGACAGTATTCAGAGGTCACTGGACAAATTTCTGAGTCTTTCCACAGAGGATGTGACCGAGACAGAAATGCTGCGGTCCAGGATAGATGAACAGTCAAGTCTGATCTGCATCCAGAAGCAGAGAGCAGATGAGCTGACACTTCGATGCCAAGCCCTGCAGAAAATCAACTCAGATCTAGAGGACGGAGTAACAGACTGCCAGAAAGAGCTGGACAGTGAAAGAAAGAAAGCAGCGTTAATAGAGAGGAGGTTTATGGATTTAGCTGCCAACAATCAAGCAATTATTGTCTTTATGAATGAGTACAAAAGTCAGAATGCACAGTTGAAGAGGGAAAACAAACTGCTGCAGTCAGAAAATGATACGCTTTTCTCCCAAAAATTACAAGATAAAGAAGTGTTGTTACAAAAACTGATGCAAGAAATGAAACTGCTAACAGAGAATTACACAAATAAAGAAAAGGAATATCGGTACGTTTTATTAAAAACACTTATATACTAATAACAATGAAACATTTCGTGGATAAATCTATTTGTAAAGGTAACTTAACTGCCATTCACTGGTTAAAGCTTCAAAAGCAATCAGACTGATGTATCATTGTAGAATTGTAAAAACTGAATTTGAAGAATAACCAATATAAATATTAAGTTGCAGCCATAAAGCCATTTCTTTATGCTGGATATTTTGCATTTCTGTTTCAGGAAGAATTTAGCTGAAAGTCAGTCAAAACTCCTGGAAGAAGAAACCCAACATAAAGCCAAAGAAGCATCGCTGCTGGATCAACTGCACAACACTGAGCAACAGCAAAGAGAAGCTGTAGAAATGTGCAACGGTCGGTAGTCATTGTTTCATCATTCTCTCAAGTGCTACAAAATACAAGTTTTTATTAAGATGTCGTCTTCTGTCTACATTCAGAGCTGAAGCTCAAGCTACAAAGAGCTGAAGAAAAGGATGCTGCGAAGGAGATCAACATGAAGAAAAGCATCACAGGTCTTACCAAAGAGAAGGAAAAACTGTTGTCTCTGTCCATAGAGAGAGGACGAGTGATACAGGTGATATATGTAGTATTTGTTCACTCCACTAAAAATTGAGAATGATTCATTTTCTTCATGTAAACACACCTTGGTCTTAAATTCAGGAGAAACAAGAGGAAATTCAGCAACTGGAGATAAAATGGAAAAAGGAGAAGAAATCTCGGGCTGAAGCAGAAGACAGGTAAAGTTTTTATCAACATTTTTTTTACTGCACTGCCTATTATAACAAGTAATGTCTCCATCCGTCTTTGACCTTGACTCAGGTTTGAACAGGACGCAGAGGTTGTTAACTCAGACATCAAAGTCAAGTCGCTCCAGTGTGCTCTCAATGACGCTGCGACAAAGTATCGGAGGCTTCAAAAGGTTTGAAATCTGCAGCATTAAAAAGTGATTGCCCATAAAGAAATGAGGACAAACCCAACATGTTTTCTTTTCCAATTATTTTGCAGGATTTCGATGCCTTCAGAGAACACAGCGCCAGCCTCCTCACACAGGAGAGGGAACTGAATAAGAAACTTCGCCACATGATAGGATAAATTTTACTATGATGTAGGTGTTTCGTCTTCTTACCAATGAGACATGGTTTTAACAAAAATTAAAACCTAATGTTTATTTTCACCGAGAATGTTTGCCCAAATGAGAATGTTTGACAATGAAAGACCATGACAAAAGTTAATATCACATTTTGTTTTATGTCATCCTCACAAAATATGTCACATGACTCATTAGTTCCTCTATTAGAAATTATACTGTACAAATATTTATCTCATAAAAATGTATCTCCCAACCTTGCAGACAAATCACTTATGAGTGCTCCTCTGCCAGTCTCTCAGCCTTTTGGACAACTTCTTCAATTGGACCCACCATGTAGAACGCTTGCTCCGGCAGGGCATCATATTCACTCAGAAATAAAGAAGTCATTACCATCAAATGTCCTTAATTTGATCTTATTTAGAAATGTGTTAGCGCAGCACTCTACCCCCTAGAATGCTCTTGAAGCCTTTGATTGTTTCCTTGAGACACTAGGTTGCCCAAGTGACCAGTAAACATCTCAGCGACCTGGAAAGGCTGCGACAAGAAACACTGGATCTTGTGAGCGCAGGCTACGGTCAGCTATTCCTCCTCAGACAGTTCATCCCCAGGATAGCAATGATGTCCTGCAAGGATTTGTAATCCTAAACAAAAGAACAGATTCACCAATCAAAGCAACACATCATGCATGATAACCAAACATCATGATAAGCGTGAAGGAAAGCTTGTCAACAAAAAAAAGGAAAGAAAAAAATAAAGGCATCAAGATCTTCTCAATAGAATACTCACTGTTTGGTGCCGATTGGACCCCTCTCATCAATGGGTTCTCCAATGACATTCATGATCCTGCCCAGGGTCTCAGGAACCACTGGGATTCTGATGGGATCCAAAACCTGCTGACCATGGACCAGACTTTCAGTACCATCCATGGCAATGGTCCTGACTGTTTTCACCTGAAGAAACACGAGTAGGGATGGTAAAACAGTGTTTAAAAGTCATCTGATGTCTGAGCAGCATTACATTCTTCAACCCACTCACCCAGATGCTGAGCCACCTCAAGCACCAGCCCGGCAGCAGCAGCTAGATCTGAAAAATCGAAATATTGTTTAGACTTCTATTTGTTTAGTTTCTGTGGGTTTGATTTTATATTGGTTAGACTCTGCAGGAGTCTGAACAATGATCAATATCTCCATGTGCTTTACAATAAGACATTATTGTTGAAATTAAAATAGCAGAAAAAGAATTTTTTTTATTTCACAGTTCAGTTTGTTGATAAAGAGAAATGAGGTTCATGTGGTGGACTGGGAGCAGAGCTGATATATAGAAAATATAAAATAATATGTGAATTGTAAATAGAATATATACAGTATTACAGAAAGGTACATTTATGCAACTGACAATGCACGGATAGAATAATTAACTTTAATAAGTTGTATTACTATTGCACATTTATGAAATTGAAATAACACAGATACATAAGAAAAACTCTGTACTGAGTCACACAAAAACAGTGTTCACTTACTCGCATTAAGAGCTGCATCGTTTGTGCTGACCGTCTTTAGGGAGTTAATTCCGGGGTTAAGAGTCCGCAGAGCCCGACGTTCATGGCTGAAGGTGAAGTCACACACACACACACACAGGTGATCAAAGGAACTGCTGAGCCTGTGTTCATTGTTGTTATGACCTGGCCTTACCGCAGGAGGGCAGCACCCGCCACCCTAAAGCTACACCTTACCTCTGGGGTCCACTGGGTTAGTCCCTTAGGTATACATGTAAATAAGAGATATCACAAAAACAAGTGAAACAAAATTCACTGAAAAAAATATTATTTACAAACAGTGATGAGGGGGGAAAAATCAAACACACATATTCGAAAAGAAGTGAGAAAAGGTACAAACGTATTTAATCTCACCCCTCCTCCAGAAATCATTAGTCCACCCAAAAACTTAACTTTTGGAGTTTCAGGGGTAAACAGCATTGCAGCCAAATCCAATACAATTGAGGTAAATGGTGAACACTTCTTCAAACGTAAAACAAAATGCCTCCATACTACTCCTGTGGTATCATCCAAGTGTCTATTCAAATGCAAGCTTCATTTAAGCTTAAATGTCCACTGTGATCCCTGTGCCATCGCGTGGGGAAATGTGGAAAGTTATTCATCTCAAAATCCATTTTTCTATATATTTTCAAGATGATTCAGTTGATTGGCAGAAGGAGTTATTGTCGCTACTGAAATCTGATAGGTTAGATTGAACACATCTCTTCTCTTGTAATCATTCGCAGTGATAATCACAAAGGGGAACATGAACAAAAGCATTCAGTTAGTGATGAAAGAACATGAACGACAACTGGATTTTACAGTGATTTTCCATATCTTATAAATCTTGCTGCAGCACATACACACAGTGAACGGCTGTCATTCGGCATAAAACAAAGGTGAAGGGCTGAATTTTACCAAGCGATCATTCAGCGTAACATTCCTTTGTGTCAGGGAGTCACCTCTAATTACTTCTTGCCTGGAGCTTCGGAATACAAAGCCTCTTCACCTCGAGCACAGCAGGCAGAATGCTTCATGAATCTTAAGCCATGTCTGCACAGGACCAGACCCCATGTGTCTTCAAACCACACCAGGAGAAATATGCTGAGAGGTCACTACTATGAGTGCGTGGTCAGATGGTCATCTCTGAGGGTCTTCGAGGTGAACCACCGACAGCGTACAGCAATTTATTTTCTGAAAGATATCTTGCATGTCACTTCTAAGTGCAACCCCCCTTTTCATGAAATGATAGAACAAAAGATATCCTTAATCTGTTTCTGATTTTAAAAAAGAGACTTGCTCAGTTAATGTTTTTTCCTAATGCTTTTACCATCCACTGTAAAACACAACAGAATCAGATTTCTAGCATCCCGTCTCAATTTATCATGGCTTAGTAACTTAGAAATTTATTGTTAAAATCCAGGACCTTTTAACCCTTTGTTCTCGGGTGGGGCTGTTGATCATTCCAAAGTCCAGGGTGTAGACCAAAGGTGACCAGGCCTTTGCCATTAGGGCCTCTAAACTTTAAATAACTCTACCAACTTCTTTTAACATTAACATTTTTGTTGTAATTAACAAGTGTTATTTGATTGCATTTTACATTCATGCTTTTCTAATTTACAAACTATTTTATTTGCAACATAACCTCTATACAATGTTAATTGTGACTGCAAGTATAAAAACTGAAATTCTATTCTTAAATCTCTACATTTATATGCCAACAATTCCGCTCTTCCTCATCACTCCCTGCAATCAAAACAAACAGCCATGAAGCTGAACTATCCAGGTTTAAAAGGTAATGGTGTGTGATCTGAGGAGACCTCAAGGCTTTTATAGTACTGCAATACAAGCCAGTAGCCAGTCAGATTTACCATGTATTTTGTGAGCACTTTGTTAACCTGTTTGGATAAGTGCTATATAAATAAAGTTAATTAATTATAATTATTTTAACATTATTATTAGTAAAACTGATTTTCCCCTCACAGCACTACAACACTGCAAAAAAAAACAGAACTCAACAGTTAATCTAACCATATTTAAGAATGTTGTTGCAGATGTTCTGATGTATCTACCTACTATTTATTTTACAAAGTAGTTGGACCTAGTTGTTAAAGTTCTATAATTATCAAATACAAAGTCTAATAACACTACATGATAACTTTAAATCGGCAGTATCAAATCAGTGAGTGGCCTTCTACCTATACCTATGTATCTGCAGTTTATTGTGCTTGTAGTGATCAAGACACTAAATTCAGCAAACACACAATGTTGCTTCACTCTTACATGCAGCCATCCCCCCTACCCTGAGGGCAGAACTGGAGTCTTGGCAAGGCTCCATGGGATGTGGTCTGAAGGTGCCGTCTTATAAAGGAGGCATGAGCGTCTCAGGGTCGCTCACTCTCCACTCCACAGAATGACTGAAACGACTGCGGCTGCTGCCGAATCAATGAGCTGACTGGAGCCCGCTCTGCACCCCGGGTCCTCTGCTGTCCCTGCTGCCTTTGTCACATCTACATTTTGGGCTGCACTCAAACTGAGATACAGTGTTACCAAAGGAGGCTTGAAAGTAAGTCAGTGTTTTAAGGATTTATTACTACTATAACTACTTTTTGTTGACAGTAACATTGATTGAAATTCTTGTTGCCATTTTTCTTCATAGCTGGGACAAGGATGTTCCCCTCCTTTACATCAGTGCTGCTAGTCACTGCACTGACCAGTGTCTGGGCCCAGGACCACCATGAGGAGAGGAAAACTGCGAAGAAATCCAGAGGCAAACCTCTGGCTGCAAATATTCATGACGGACAAGGTAAGAAAATGAATGAAAAACAAAAATATTCAGTCTTTTTGGAGCTCGTTAAATTGCTGTGATGCATCACTCAGTCTTTTAGGTGGTTTATGTGTGTATGTTTTCCCTAATTTCTATCAAAGAAACCCTAATTAGGATTTATATATGTACACATTGTATAAAGACCTTGAGATTTGTAAGACAAAATGCAAGGTTTTGACATGAAATTCACTGAAAATGTAGTAAATCATTGAAATCACTGAAAGAACAACTTGTTAAATGGGTTGTAATGACAATGGAAAGTCCTGCATCTTGTTCTGTGTGCACACAGCCATCCTAGACGAGGACTGTAGCTTGGAGCTCTCCTTCCTCCTGGACAGCTCTGAGAGCGCTAAGGACAACCATGAGCAGGAAAAGCAGTTTGCCATGAACATGGTGGACAAACTCCAAGGGGTTCGACTGCAAACCGGCCGCAGCCTGAGTTTGAGGGTGGCCCTGTTGCAGTACAGCAGCCATGTCATTACAGAGCAAACCTTTAGAGACTGGAGGGGCACGGAGAACTTCAAGACCCTGATTGCTCCCATCATCTACATCGGGCATGGAACCTACACCACCTACGCCATCACCAACATGACCAAGATCTACCTGGAGCAATCCAGTCCCGGCAGCATCAAAGTGGCCATCCTCCTCACAGATGGCATTTCCCACCCAAGGAACCCTGACATCTTCTCCGCTGTTGCTGATGCCAAGAACCAGGGTGTCAGGTTCTTCACCCTGGGAATCACTTGGGCAGCCAATGAGCCAGCCAATGTAGCCCAGCTGCGTCTGCTCGCCAGCTCCCCTGCCTCCCACTTCCTCCACAATTTACAGGAGGAAAACATAGTCAACAAAATCGTCACTGAGATTGTGAGTAAAATACCTCGCCTTTCAGCGGAGAGCACTTAGGAGAAAAGTCGTGCATTTGTTTTGACAAATCATCTATTGGGAGTTGACACATACGGGCTTGTTCAGGTATTCATATAGAGATGGAATGACGATAATGCAGCAGAGAGACAAAGGGAAAAAAATGTGTGTGACAGCTCTGGATTTAAGTTTTTCTCCAGAGAATTTACACAAAAAACAAGTTTTTATGAGTTTATCCCCTGGATTTCCTTTAAAGGTGGTTTAGCTTAGCGTCACTTTTAGGAAAAGCTCTCACATCACATTCCTCTATGTGGAAAAAGGTTGGATTTTCTTTACAGCAACACAAAAGTTATGCAATTAATTCCGCTTCATCTCGAGGTGTAGAAGATGCTTAACCTAGAAGTTTTCAGGAATGCTATCTGTCTTTATCAGCTTTTCTTTGTGTTGTGTGTAGCTACATTGAGTTATTATAACACATCTACATATGTAATGAACGAGCAAACCTGATGATGTTTTTCATCAACTTCTCATTTCTTTGCAGACTGGCTTGGCTGACGAAGGAGTAAGTATTACAGTTAACTGATACAGACATTTAATGATGTGTAATTGGGTGAAGATGCCCACTTTGTGTAGGATTGTGTAGGATTACACCCATGACAGCTTAGTGTCTCTTCTTTTTGAAGTGCCCTCTGGCTCAGAGATGTGCTTGCGAGAAAGGGGAGAGGGGACCCAGTGGGCCTGCGGTGAGTACCTATCCTCAAACTTTTCAAAATACCCTACAACCAAAGATCAGTTTTCCTTTTGAAGTGTCACAGACATTTGACAGAACAAACGATTTCAGAAATCTGGCTTGGAGAAATCTGACATAGATCCTGTTATTTCAGGTATGGTAATTGTGCTGTTTTGAACAATCAGGATAACTGTTGCTTCTCCCCCACCCATACGGCTTGCAGGCATTTGCAAACACACAGTAAGTGGACAGGTGGTGCAGTCCCACATTCTAAAAGCAAACCTATGGCAACAGGAAAAGAAGAGGAGAGACGGTGGATTGTATTTCCCAGAGAAATATGTTTGTACTACTCCATGTGCCCTGTCTCAGCTAGTTACAGTGCATTTCTCATGCAACATAAGATGTCCCCCATGGAAACCAGAGGCACCACATTTAGAGCTCTTCTCCCTATAAAACTGGACCTTTGGCCATCATTAATCTGACATACAACCTCTTCTGCCACCAGGTCAGTGAGACAGGGACACAGGATGAGGGAGTACAGTATGGAGAACCAGATATTCTACTGTTCCTATGGTTGATAGTAGAGGAAGACATTCGCAGCCCCTCTAAGTATCCACAAGCACTTTCAGACATATTTCCAAACTACCGTTCGATCCCCTCTCCTTCTCATAGTGCATTGGTAATGTGAAGCTTTCCAGCGACCGGACAGGTAATCAAGTTGCTGACAGACAGCTGCGTGGTCATTAACCAGATGCCTCCTCAGAAAGATTCTTCAAATTCTTACACTAAGACCGAAAGGTTCTCTTAATTACCCTAATTAGTTTAATGGTCTTGATTTCTGGTGAACGGCAACTGAAACTCAGTGTCCAGGTGCAGCTCGAGACAATGACCTCTGACTCTGTGGACAAGACACCTCATGCCCACTAATGGCGTCATCTGTCGTTCAGCCGACAAATCCATGAGCAGACACATTCAGACACGGGCCCAGTATTTTCTCAGCCTGTCTGTATTGCACAGGGTCTTTCTATAGTGGAAAAAAATCTTTGCACTTTGACTTTGCAAACTACGTAGTAATCAAAACCTTTGATTTTCAGGTTATGGGTCCTGAACTTGTGTATTTGTCATTAGTGCATTAATGCATACTGACAGGAGAGAAAAACACTCAGGAGAACAAATGATCTTACTCTTGACCCATATTTTGTTTCGTTCTCCAGGGGAAGAAAGGTCGATCTGGAGATGATGGAACCCCCGGGTTTAAAGGGCAAAAGGTTGGTGGTTTCTGATGGACATATGGGCTATGACATTCTTAGCTGGGGGAGCTTTTTTAACCCCACCTGAGTGCACTCCTAAATTATATGTTTCCGTTTTGGGCCATCCAGAGTCTGTGAATTGGGATCCATTGAGCAAAACTTTAAAAAAAGGAATATATGTGTCATAGTCCATAGTGAACAGTAGTTTGTGGATATTTTTAATATGTATTTGTTTGTATGTTATTTAAATTTTAAATTTATCATGTTATCTGTGATTATCAATAATATGCATGTTTTGAGTAATTTTGAAGTAACGTTAGCTACTGACTCACATTTAGTGAAAAGTATTTATGCAAATATTGAGCATATTATGATCTCTTGCGTCTTACCCTTCACTGATCTCCTGTGGAGTACCCCAAGGTTTAATATTGGGCCCTGTTTTCTATTTTGTATACTTAATCGGTTCTATTTATAGACAATGTTACAACCTTTATTGTTGCACTGATGATATGTAGCTGTAACTTTAAATATGCTTGTTGATCGAGCATTTGACATTGTTTGACACAACTGTGAACAATCTTCAGAACCTGTTTTAATGGTGTTTTAATCTGCTGATTGATTTTATTGGATCTGTTCCTGTATATTTTGCACAATTTTAGAATTTGTTGTTTTAAAATATAAAGTTATATAAAGTTGTTTATAACTGTGTGGTCAGACTCTGAACATCTACAACAGGTTGGACAAACTAACATTGATTAATATAATGAGTCAGTGTAATCCCGTCATATCAGGGGGAAGCAGGATTGAGTGGACTACCTGGACGAGAAGGTGCTGAGGTAAATGCTGATATTTATTACCAAAATAAAGAACATATTCACTACTGTCATATTTGTTTGTTCACACATATTCCATGTTTTCTATTTGCAGGGAAAATTGGGTCTGAAAGGAGATAAGGTATGCAATTCAGGTTCTGACAATGATGATATTTTATTTTGCTGCACATAAAATGGACCTGTGCTGTACTTTCAATCTCTACACAGGGTGAGGGGGGTGATTGTGGAACTCCAGGAATCAAAGGAGACAGGGTACGGTGACACTGCTCATATTGAATATCATGTTTGCAGTTTAAAAAACATTGTATTTGATGTTGTGGCTCATTCTCTTTCCTCCAGGGTCCTGAGGGTGCACTTGGTGCAAGAGGAGTCAGAGGCCTTCAGGTTAGTCATAATTCACGTGTCTTTGTTCGTTAAGACTTTATATTGTTTAAACAGTCACACAGAAGAGAACAAAGATGTTTTACCTACAGTCCATGGAAACTCTGGATACTTAAAAGTATGCACAATGCAACTAATTTCAGATAGATAATCATTAACATAGAACAATAGATATATATTAGCATGACAGTACAACCAACTTAACAACAACTACAGTGTCAGTCAACGACAATGTTCATTAAAAACGTAACACTGCAGCAGGTACAAAGCACCTGCCTACCCAATCTCTCTTTACAAGTCAGACAAGTCAAACTAGAGGAAAATTCACTCAATAGCTTAAAACATTACCATATAATGTCAAACATTTCCCCCTATCCATACAGAGTAATGTACAAACCAAATGTCTGGTTGTTTTATAATTAATGGTTGCTTGTTGTCTCTGCTCAGGGCGTACCAGGACCACATGGAGACAGCGGACCAGAGGGCCCTCAGGGAAAGCAGGTCAGCCCCTTTCTGAAGAACTCTCACTTCAACTCATCGTGCACATCTGCTGTGACCTTTACATTTCCTTTTGTGATTAGTTTAAACAAGAGGTTGGCGTTTTACCACCCAGACACTTAACCATCCTGCACAGAGGCCTGTTTGTCTGCTAATAAACCCCTACATGAACATTTGGCAATGAGCCGAAGTCCTCACCATTATTACTGTTATTCACCAACATAGAAAAAACATCATACTAGTGCTTCTCCTGTGTGTATCCTGTTTCTAAATACAGACTGGAAAGTGCCTACAGCATTGTCAGCTTCTCCAACAAGAGCTCCTGTTAAAAACATACATGAGTAGTCAATGTATATGCTCAGTCTTGCCATGCGAAGACATACTTGTAGGTGGTATTTGCAAAGATTAACAGCAATCTTGGTGGTCTCTATTTAGTGTAATTTGCATTAGATCCAAAAAACAGACTGCTGAAAGAAATGCTTTTATATGTTTTTAATTATATTTTTTTTCTTATAGATTAAAAATACATATTTAAATATGATTTTACTATGCCCCCCAACTTAACGGTTATTACAAAGCAATGACTATGACTAAAAAAAGGAATGACTATTTAGCTAATCATTTTGGTTACATTTTTATGAACAATAAGACAAATTCAACCAGAACGATTACATCTCTTTGTGTCATATATTGAGTGGGATTTGAATGACCTAAAATGACAGATACTATCTTTGATAACTCTTTTGACCAGAACATTCTTTTTTGTTTGGCCTACTACCTATAGGATACTGATTCTGGCAGGTCTCAGAAACAGGTTAATACTCCTATCCAGTCCACGTCCAATGGAGTGAGCTTCTTGGTTGAGAGGCAAAGAGGGAATACAGAATTAAAGAATGACATAAGAGGATGGCTAAGCATAGCAGATTATATATATATACCCAGCAACACCAGCAGACAGGAACAGAAATCAAATGGGATAAAACAAAACACCTGCAGGCAGAAAATCCAGGAAGTTGAACCAAAAAAACTAAAAACAACAGAGCTTCCACCAATTCTCAATTGTTTGGGGATAAACATTGAGACATTACAGGAGCTTAGGTTTCGTTCATATTTGTCCTGACCTGCAGGAAGAGATCAAATACCTCGCCCACCCCCCAATTTACAGTGCACACAACAGCTGAAAGATTGCATTCATTTGAGCTCCAAAGAAACATCTCGTCTACATGTGTTTGAGTGTCAATCAAGTCTAGTTTTTAATTCCAGTGTAAACTTTTGTCAAGTGTTGTTATTTTTGTCATCACAGGGTGAACGTGGCCCACCTGGCCTTACAGGAATTCAGGGGGAAACTGGTATTGGACTTGCTGGACCAAAAGTAAGTTGTGTGATTGTTTATTTATTGTCATTTATTTGCGTTGCTGTTATTAAACTAAAACATTATGTAAATCTGCAGGGTGACATGGGGTTCCAGGGAAGGCCAGGACCTCCTGGTCCTCAAGGAGTGGGTGAACCCGGACTTCCTGTAAGTTAATTACCAAACTGTCTATGGCAAATTTTCAAACTGTTTTGTCTGTAATGGCCGTAGTTGTATCATTGTTAAATTCTCTCTAAAATGTACTGATCGGGTGACATATTCAACACTCTGGCTTTGTTTACAGGGACCTCAAGGGCCACAAGGCATTCAAGGGGAGAAAGGACCCCAGGGTGAAGGGTTCCCTGGGTCAAAGGTAGGCCTATTATTTTGACAAATAATAATATCAAACAACAGTAACATTGTCTAGGTCAAACTACAGTATACAGTATAGGTAAGAGATTACAAAGAGATAAATACATTCTTGAAGGTAGAACAGAGTAAGCAAAGACCCCTCTAACCCCTGCACTGATGATTCTGTCAAGCTGCCCTTGAAGAAAGCTTTTAACCTCTAGTGAAGCTGCTGAAGTAATGGATCAGGGGTAAATATGTGAAACAGCATTAATCTAATCTCTACAGTGCCTCTGGAAATGTAATCAAAGCCCATTTTAAGTAGAAAATCAAATATCTGAAGAACCAGAGCTTGAACCACTGTAATAACTCTCCAAGGTGTAATATTTGACAGGAAACATCAAAAGAACAGCAGCAAGTGAATGCAATTTTTTTTCTTGGCTTCAGGATAGTTGGCATCACGCTCTGTTGATCTTTAAGTCTTACTACAAGTTAATCCTGTCGAGTCATGTTGCCTGTGTTTACTTCTGTGTCACTTCTGTATTAACATGATATCCATATAAAATAAGGGGCAGCAGACATTCTGTAAAACGCAAAACAGAGATTTCTCAACCAATTTGTTTACAAGCAGTTGTTTCATTACTACTTGATCTAAATAACTACCTGCTCTAATTGTTAAAAAACCATTTGCATAAATACCACATAGATTCATTGTTGGATCCTGAAAGTAATGGGACATCAGCTGCCAGTGTGTGTGGCTGGCATTGCTCATAGAAAAATGCTTCCAGGCCTAAAATTAACATAGAAACACAGTGTGCTGACAGTCTTCCTGATCTTTCAGTGTAATTGTAGGTAACAGGGGCATTCTGCAGTTCATGGCCCACATCTGTCAAAACCACATCTCACTCTGTTCCAACTCAATGGCTCACAGCTCAGATGTTTATTCAAGCCTTGCAGCTGATGTGTTAAACCTGTAAAAAAAATTATTTTCCCATGCTGCAACATGCCTCACAATGGAACATTGTATTTTACAATGGACAGCAAACTCCTCATTCAGAAGGATACAGCAGGGAGTCAACTAGAGTTTTAACGTCACATGCAAGACTGGATGCAATAGGATGAGGCTCACTGAGTAAAATATACATGAGGATTATAAATGACAGCAACATGTCTCATTTTTACTGCGGCCCATGACAGAGCCTGTGAGTAAATCTGACAATGTAAGGAACATAATTATGAGGTTGTTGAGGAAATCTTTTGGACACTTTTATTGGTCGAAGGAAGCTCTCTGAAAATGATCGCTGGGAAATGTCCTCAAGCAACTACACATCTGTTCGACCTGTGCCAGACTTCCTGGCTGTTGTAAGTTTTACTTCTCCGCTCACTTCTACATCTTGTAAAAGGGGGATCTCTCACATTTTCTCAGATCAGGTTGGTTTGTCTGTAATTTCATTAGACTTGGATTGCTTGTTCAATTCCTATCATCAGCCCCTTGCACTTCATTATTCACGGGCAGTGGAAAAAGTTGAAGAATCACAAAGAAAGTTGAAAAAAAAAACAGTATCATTCCTTGTGCATAGGATCACTGTGCATCAATCATAAATTGCTAACAGGAGCCAACATGCTCTTTCTTCCATACTCTCTTCACTGAGAACAATGCAAATTTGGCTTTGACCCAATCTCAAGAGGCTGTGATGTAACTGACAAACATGACCTGATTTTGTTTCCACAGGGTGATCGGGGGCTCCCAGGACAGAGGGGGCCAAGGGGACAGCAGGGTGCAGGAATCAAAGGAGAAAGGGTGGGTTCTAAATGTATAATCTAACAAAGAATATTCACTGCTGCACACAAAAAGGCATAAATGAAATACACAAAAGAGCCCAAATGTTCTCCCAGCTCTTTGAAACACTAGATGGAGACAAGAGGAGATTAGGGAGACCTACATTAAACATCTGGTTAATATGGAAAAGTTTAAAGTTAATGGTGGTAAAGAGGGGCTACACCATGTGCTATAAATACTGTGTGACTATAAAGGTAATACATATCAGCCACAGTATTAGAACTACCCACTATAATATTAGACAGCTGGTTTCAATGTTGTGGCTGGTGTCTGTAGTATAATTAGAGGGAACCACTAGCTCTGGGAGGTGCTGTAGAAAGTTTTAAAAAAAAGTGCCATAATTTTTCTTAACTCCACAAAGTGACATGTAGTCCATGGGTAGGCTATGACAAGAACTCTTTTTGTGTGCAATACAACCCTGTGTATGTGCCTGTTTATGTTGTTTTATGTTGTCTCTTTATGTTGCCTTATGTAATGACTCTATGTCTTTCATTTTTACTTGTTTTTATGATTGTCTTCAAGTGGTCATTTATTGGCAAGCTGAAGAAAATTTCCACTTTGGTGGATAATAAAGTTCTGAGTCAGTCTCAGCTGTCAATCAAAACATTTCACCCCGTTTTTATATCATCAAATTAATAATTAAAACCAAATTTTTTGAAAAAATGAGCAGTTCAACAAACAGCAGTGTGATAAGAATCACACTAAAATGACAGAAATCGTCTTTGCAAAAAAATTGTTTTGTCAAATTTACTTTTTAGTTTGGCTCTTGTTCCTTCCAATGACTTGAGGGAGGATGGGTGTGATTTAGCTTTACTTTTGGGGTGCTTTCTTGTCGTCCATCTTTATATACAGTTTAGGGTATTGACCTGTCAATGGTGTTTTACTTCTAGGGTGAACTGGGGCCTCCAGGTCCTCTTGGGCCACCTGGACTGACAGGAGTCGGCATACAGGGAGAAAAGGTCAGCAGGATAATGTTCTCTAAATGTTTAAAAAGTTGTGTATCTCATGTCTCTGTCACACTCTTATATACAAACAAATGCAATAGTAGAACATCCTGTAATTATATTCCTCTACTCTTTATTGTTACACAGGGAACTGAGGGTCCAAGAGGTCCACCAGGAGTCAGAGGGCTACCAGGAGAAGGTTTATCTGGACCTAAGGTTTGTTAAAACACCTGTAAAATTCAAGAGTCCATTTGCTTATTTGGTCAAATTAATATGTGAAAAAATACAACAGTATATATAGAGTACCAAGCAGCAGATATGGCAAGATGGATGAGTGTACAGATTTAGACCTTTCACAGGATTATACGCCACAGTGCGAATGGTTAAATAGATAGTAAACATTCGGTATATTTGAAGTGACCATTCTTGTTGGCTGTGTTAAAGGGGAAGTCAGAAGAGTTATACAGGCTTATGTTCTCAGGGTAAAGATTGATCTTGATGCTGCGTTACATTTTTAATGATGACCCATGCCATTTTGCTGTTTCTATTTCTAGGGAGATCAAGGTTTACCAGGAGAGCAGGGAGGTACAGGAGAGAGAGGCATTGGTGACCCTGGTTCAAAGGTAATTCAACACGTCTTTAACAAAACAATTTGATATATTACTGCCCGTGGACCGAATCTATGAATCTATTTGTTGCTTTTACAGGGAGAGCCTGGAGCAGCTGGTTTGGGTGGGCTGCCTGGTCTTCCAGGAGAGGATGGAGCTCCAGGACAGAAGGTACAGTTTTTAATCCAATTTAGTGGAAAACCTCTACTGTGTAACCCAATTTCCTCTTTGTATCTGAACCATACCGTCCTTCCCTTTGTCCACTGACTTACAATGAAAAACAAGATTATTTCCAGAACTCTTTGTGTTGAAAAGATTGTTTCTTCATCTCTTCTAATGTTCCTCTTTTAGGGGGAGCCTGGTTTACCTGGTTCAAGAGGTCCTGAGGGAGCACAAGGAATTGGCATTCAAGGGGAGAAAGTATGATCTAAATTATACCATAGTAGTTCACATTTTTTATCAGGTGAAATGCTAATCAGATAATGTATGGTTCTGTCCAGGGTGACCAGGGTATGAGGGGTATCCGTGGGTTACATGGGCCTCCAGGGATTTCAGGACCCTCTGGACCAAAGGTAAGAATTAATGTGGTATTTTTCTATGGTATGATAGCTTCCTCCTACAACCAAAAACACACCTGGTATTGGTATCTGAAGTATTGTCAATAAAGAGGATGTTCCGTCTCTAACCATTTCTTACTTTCCAGGGAGAACGTGGAATACCAGGTCATCAGGGCATCCCAGGTCAGCCAGGACGGTCTATATCCGGTCCAAAGGTAAATGAATAAACACTTATCATCTACCTTGGCAGTTAGACCACACATTTATAACCACACATCCCAAGGAATTTCCAGATAGTGTCTGATGGGATGTAATACAACCAAACACTGTTGCAGCCAAGAATCAATTTGACTTGACTGTCCTGTCTTCAGGGTGATCAAGGTCCTATTGGGCCCCATGGTCCTGTTGGGGAAACCGGCCTTGGACTGCCCGGTCCAAAGGTAAATACCATTATTCTTTTATTTTAGAGTGTTTTTAGAACTTTGAAAACCATGTTTGCATGGACTGCAACATGTTATTGGTCTTCATCAATGAATTTTGTTTGACCAGGGTGATCATGGTCATCCAGGTTTACCGGGTCCACATGGTCCAAAAGGAGAAGGCTTTCCTGGCCCTGTGGTTTGTATCACCAACCAAAAATTAATATAAATAAAAACCCTGTGGATGTTGGCACAGTCTGAACTAATTTAAGCATCATCTTTTAGGGTCCTCCAGGCCTGCCAGGCTTACCAGGAGAATCAGGCCCAGAGGGAATTGGAATTCCTGGTCCCAAGGTTTGTGTCAAGTCTAAGAGTTGTTGTTTTTGTTGGTTGTTTGACGTTCTGTTTGATATTGTCATGTCTATTCTAGGGTGATGTTGGGTTTAGAGGATTGCCAGGTTTGCCTGGTCCACCTGGGGAGGGCTTACAAGGTCCACCGGTAAGAAACATTATTGGACATTGAGATACAAACCACTCAAATCAATTTAATTACAATTGATAGTATAATCTGAGTCCCGACTAATATATAATCATATAAACCACTCACCATATACTATTTGATCATTGACTAAATGCAAGTTGGTCGTAAACAAGTCTCTTGATTACTTTCAAAACTTTGTTTAAAGGGTAATGTTGGGAGATCAGGACCCCCTGGTTCAATTGGACCTCAAGGCGAAGGCATTCAAGGTCCAAAGGTAAATGATTGTGGTTTACAGTTTATGGAAAAATTTCATTACTGACATTTACCAATCTTCTCATAATCAAGTTTGTTGCACAGTTTTACTTCCTTGTAACAAGTGTGAAGCAATAGGATTTAATTCATTATTTCTGACAAGTTACACAGTAGAGAACTGTCTGACGAACTAGCTGCAGGACAAATCATTAAGTAATTTAAGATCTTTCAAGTGTTTGGATGAATGTGTCCCATGTACAGTCAGTCTACAGTACAGTCTAATTTCAGGGAGAGCCTGGATCTCAAGGTATGACTGGGCCGCGAGGTCCACAAGGAGATGGCTTTCCTGGGCCTAAGGTGAGACATTTCTATGTAGCTTTCAAAAATGGAATGACATGTGATTAAGCAGTCTTTGACTAGACTGACAATACTCTCCTTGTTACAGGGTGATCGTGGATTACAGGGTGAGAGGGGAATGAAAGGTTTAAAAGGAGAATTGGGAGATCCTGGAGTCGCTGGTGAAGCAGTAAGTACTGACATTGCCATTTTTACTTTACTAACTGTATGAATGTGATCGTTCATCAGATCGTTCATCAGATGAAATCTTCAGAAGGCCTTTTCAATTAAATGTCCTTGTATAATGCACTGAGGAAGTACAATTAAAAATTTGTAAAATGTATGCTTTTCATAATCCAGAACAATCAGGTTATAGTGTGTGTGTGTGTGTATAGCACATGGAAGCAATTATACTGTCAAAATAATTGGTTTGATACAATAATAATGAAATACAGAATAACAATAATCATGATTAGCATTACTAACCTATGACATAGAAACTGAACTACTTACCACAAATTGAAAACTTTTCTCAAATCCCAGGGGAAGCCAGGAGCAAAAGGAGAAACAGGCCTGACGGTAAGTTTATAAATTCAATGTTTGACCACTCAACAAAGTATAGGGATTTGATACTAATGAGAATGTTCCATGTTTTACAGAGAGAAGACATTATTAAGCTGATCAAAGAAATCTGTGGTAAGACCACTAGTCAGCTCTAGTTAAACTATTGTCCATTGTTACAGAGCTGTTCATGCTACTGTATATTTTGCCCTTAACTAGCATTGGGTAACGTACAGTACTGGAGACCCTGATAAACGAGTTTCTATAAAAATGCTTGTGAGACAAGCTAAAACCTATGGACCTTATTTTTTTTCAGGATGTGGCATCAAGTGCAAGGAGCGGCCCATGGAGCTTGTGTTTGTAATCGACAGCTCAGAAAGTGTCGGCCCTGAGAACTTTGAAATCATCAAAGACTTTGTCACACGGCTGGTGGACCGCACCACAGTTGGTCGAAACGCCACCAGAATCGGATTGGTCCTCTACAGTCTGGAGGTCCATTTGGAATTCAACTTGGTTCGCTACATGAGCAAACAGGATGTCAAGCAGGCGATCAGGAAAATGCCTTACATGGGTGAGGGCACCTACACTGGCACCGCCATCCGAAAAGCCACTCAGGAGGCTTTTTTCAGCGCTCGGCCTGGAGTCAGGAAAGTGGCCATCGTCATCACCGATGGTCAGACCGACAAGCGAGAGCCTGTTAAGCTTGACATAGCTGTGAGGGAGGCCCATGCTGCCAACATCGAGATGTATGCACTGGGGATCGTCAATTCGTCTGATCCTACGCAGACTGAATTCCTGAGGGAACTCAACCTCATTGCCTCTGACCCCGACAGTGAACACATGTACCTTATTGATGACTTCAACACACTACCAGGTGATATTCACAGCCAGATGTTGTAAATATTATTCCTTAAGCTGTGTCTTCATGAGAACATAACACTAATTGTTGTCAACCGACAGGTTGTAAAGTTGTAAATTAACAGAACTGATTTCTTTTTTTTTTCAGCACTGGAGTCTCAGCTTGTCAATCAGTTCTGTGAAGATGAAAACGGCGCAATCTTTTACAATCGCATCGCAAATGGCCACTGGAACGGCAACAATGGGCATAGTGTCAATGGACACAATGGACACAATGGACACAATGGATATAATGGCCATGGTAATAATGGTTATGTTTATGGAAACAATGGATATGGGAACAACGGAAATACTTATAACTACCAAGAGGAGATTCAAAACCAGAGACGCACCAACCACCGCGGCCGTGGAGACACTTTCACTCTGCCCATCAGTGCTGATCCTCTCCCTATTCAGGTCTTGCTGAAACACCAAGTTTGTATCCCTGAAAATGCTTTTTTTCTCTCCTGATTGTTCAAAATTTATCTCTGGTAAAAAAAATGTTATGTTGTTTTACTCTAGGTGGTGGAAGAGGATGATGGTGAAGATTTAGACATCAGAGCCCAAGTGCGGAGCAGCAGCACAGCGGCTGTTGTTAACAAAACAACATTGCCTGAGCCTTCTGTGAGAGAAAGCTCTGTCCCCAATGGTGTAGTCATATCATCTTCTTCCTCCTCATCCTCATCAGCAACGTCTTCGTCAACGCTGGGTTCAGTTTCATCCTTAAACTCTAATCAACTGCAACCAGTGGTGACTCCAGTACTGCCTGAAGGTGAGAACGGCACTCCCGCTCAGTAGACCTTTTTCACAGGGAACATTCTGACATGATAGTGCCATCTTCAATGTTATAGACACAAGCCAAGATATCTGATATGAAAAGACATGGCCCTAAGTTGTGTACAACATTCTGCAATAATGTATACTAACAGCATACAGATTATGTAAAAAGATCTACTGCAAACAAAATTATGTGTGCAGGTTAGACTTTATACGTGTATAGGCAGATTTGGTATACAAAAAGAATATGAGTATAGTATGCTATACATATATATACATATATATATAGTAAACTAAAAACTGTATATTCTATATAGTACAACTGTAGAAGTTGTATGTAAATATATAGGTATACATTCACAATAGTATGCAATATAGTATAAATAAAGAAAGGTATGCTGGTATAAATACAAATTTGCAGCATTTATTTTACATTCTGGATGGTGTTGTAGAGTCTGACAGCTGAGGGATTGAAGGACCTGCAGAAGTGTTCCTTCTTGCACTGTGGGTGCAGCAGTCTGCTGCTGAAAGAGCAGCTCGGGGCCCTTACATGACACTGTCATGACACTGTCATGTACAGGGGTGACAGGTGTCCATGATGGAATCCAGCTTCACTTACACCCTCCTCTCACCTACTTTCTCAGTCGAATCCAGAGGGCAGTCCAAGACCAAGCTGGCTCTCCTAACCAGTTTATTTTTACTCTTGTGTTTTGTTGTTTCATCACCTCCAACAATCTGTGTAAAGTGTTCCAGCTGTGAGCAACTCCTCCATTTCCTTTGTGCATTGCTCTTTATACCAAAACCTGCTTACCAAATTATTTGGTACACCTAGTGAAAACTAGTGCAGTCAAGCACAACAACCCTACAATAGATCCCACATCTGTGACGGTTAAAATGCTCTGTTTCAGTTAAAACTGTTAAGTGAGCAGTTTTAATACAACTGCATGGTCATTTTGGAGGCTGCAGATTGTGCTTCTGTTCTATACTAACAACACATGTGTATCTCACTCACCATTTCTCCTGCAGAGGCCACTATTCCTGGTTCCCGCTGTAACCTCAACCTGGACCAAGGTACCTGCCGAGACTACATTATCCGCTGGTACTATGACAAAAAGGCCAACTCCTGTGCACAGTTTTGGTATGGAGGCTGTGGCGGAAATGACAACCGTTATGAAACAGAGGATGAATGCAAGGAGACTTGTGTCCTATCCAGAACAGGTGACAGTTAGAGATTTTGTAACAGCAAATATATTACGATTGTTGTCTTATTATTCTTATTCTTATCTATCTGTTACACTTCTCTGTCTCTAGCTGGATAAAAGGAAGAAAGGAAGAAACAGAACGTGACAGAAAGTGGACATTTCTCTTCTACATTCTGCTGATTTGTTCTTTTAACATGTTCAAAAATGTCACGCACTTTTGTCACGCAAATGTATTTTTTGGTCAAATAGCAAAGCCGTGTTGGATAGTCATGACAAATTAATCAAATGATGACAGGTGCCAGTATGTTGCTGTTTGAACTTACTGACTAATTAACTTCTACAAAAACTGACTGTATTACCTCAAAGAAATTGGACAGAAGAGAAAAAAGTCTTTATTCTCGCTGTTCTGGGTTCAAAGTGACAACTTCAGGGAATTTACTTGAGCTAAAAACTAATCTATAAAATAAGTTATGGTTTAGATTTGCCTCTTGGACCCATATGCTTTACATACACTGAATATATTTCTAACAAGATAGTGAATAGTGAGATGTTTGTTTACATTATGTTGATATGCTGAAATACGTCCTGACTTTTTTTGTGTGCATTCTTTCTGTTACTTTTGCAACATGTCCATTCGGGTTAGTACCTGGCAGCTGTAATAAAGGGTAGTGTCCTGTGGGTACTGTTTTCAGAGGTCTGGTGAGAGTGTCATCTTATTGAAGCATTCTGAAATCAATCAATTTAAAGGCCTGTCTACTTGGGCAGCATGTGTGTAATTGTTTTGTATGTTTTTTAATAATAAAATATAAAATAAGAGTGGTCGAGTGTTTCATATGTGCTTGTTCAGCAAAGTATCACTAATACCAATATTATATTAAAACATTTGTGCACCCTTCTTTAAGGTTCCAAGTATTAGTGTTAGATATAGTTTTTGGACACTTTTAGTTTTATACAAAATAAATACACAATACAGAGAAATAAATTTTTTGGATTCTTAGCAATGAAAAGTACCCATTGCTTAACTTAAATTGCTTTGAAAGCTTGAAATCTAATTTCATTGTTTAAACTAAGTTCTGAAGCCTTGCATAATGTTTTGACACATACATACATAGAGTAAAAGTTTGATTATATTAAAAAAAGGCTATGTATGTATTTCTACATTTATTTCTGCAGTTATTTTTATTTCATTGAAGAGTTATTGAGTCTTTTATCTATTTTTATTTTGACAGTTTGATTCCGTCATATGTTTGTCCCTCTCGTCCTGCCGTCTGTTGCCACGGTGATTATGACGCTACAGGCTCGCTCAGATTAGCCGATTAGCTAACCGAGTGGTCGTTTGGCTCGCAGGTAAACCAACCACAGGCTGTTAACGTGGATAAACTAACCTGTGGGATTCAACACCTGTGGCCATGGCGTCTGTTTTAGACGCTCTGTGGGAAGACAGAGACGTGAGATTCGACATCACAGCGCAGTAAGTTTACGCTGAATTTCTCCCTCGTAGCAGCTGGTTAGCTCAGCTAGGCTACATGGCCTGCTGTGTCGTGTCGTATGAAGAGCAGACATGCAGATGTTAGGATTGTAACTGTATAACACACCGACCTGTCTATCGACGTGTCGCTGTTCACAGGCAGATGAAAACCCGTCCAGGAGAAGCGCTCATTGACTGTCTGGACTCCATAGAGGACACGAAAGGAAACAACGGAGATCGAGGTAGTTCTCGCTCCCTCTGTGCAACTTGTGTGTGGCTGATCAGAGACTCAATACCTGGTCCTGTCCTTTTTATTTTGCAGGACGATTGTTGGTAACTAACCTGAGGATCATCTGGCACTCCCTGGCCCTGCCAAGAGTCAATTTGTGTAAGAACGGTCAAACGGATTTCTGTATTTGATTCTGAGTCTCACACCAGGAGCTGAATGTTTCTGCCCTCTCTTGGAACTGCAGGGCATAAAAACACTGTTTAAAACAGTTTGCAGCAGAGGATCGATTTTTTTCCCTGTTCAACCCCAATTTAGCATGAATCTCATCTAAATCTAAAGATTCATAAGCAACAATATTTCAATTTCTGAAGAATTAAACAATTAAGTCTCACAAACTTAATGAAAAATACACTGCATGTAATGGCCATTTCTTTTTTTATTTTCAGCTGTGGGTTACAACTCTATCATTAACATCACAACAAGGACAGCTAACTCAGTAAGTAAACCTGGTTTAATTCCTGTAACTATTAAGTAGTTTATTGT